TACAGGAATATCCTCCCCTACCCGCTCCCCAAATAAACTTTACAGGAGTATCAAAGTACTAAATAAATAGTTACTTTTTAAAACTCTGCTCCGTCACTAGTCCCTGACTTGCTTCTCTCTGTCTTTAGGCAGCTCCTTTGCCCGGAATCCCCGGGTTACCTGCTCGGTTCCCCCCAGCGGTGCGTCGCTCCGATCGGCTCCGGGGAAGACGGAGCGGCCGCTGCTTTTCAAACGGAGTCCTGGAGCCGGGGAGCAGCGGCTCAGGGCTCGCCAGAGAGGGATAGGAGCGGGAGGAAACTAAAAGTACTCAAAAGGAAAACAAAAAGTTCAACATTTTAAAGTAGAACGAGTTCCAAAACTTTACAGACCTGAGAACAACTTAACGCGGAAGTTGGGGACAAATTGCAGAAAGTGGCTCCGCAGAGCCGCCTGTTGTTGTAGTTACACAGGGACGGAATTAGGCCATTCGGCCCATCGAATCTGCTCCTGTTTGATACGTTTCTCAATCCAGCGAGGCAACGATCTAAACATGATGTAAAAAGTTACATATTTCAACAGGAACAAAAATAATTAAAGTAGCGACGTTTAGAGGGAAACAACACGATAAGGGGACCATTTAAACGCCCGGGCTTGAGTTACTTCAGCTCGGCACAGTAGAATGAATTGGAAATTCTGACAATTTTTAACGGCAGACAGCTAAGGCAGACAAGCCTAAATTGGCCTAAACCTGACTATTTGTGTACAGGAAATTCAGAACCTGTGCAACATTTTGAATATATAAATGCATGTTGAGATGAAAAGTATATAATGCACATATTTTGCGAATTTTAAAATAGAGGCAGATGATATAGGTCAGTTCTGTGAAGTTTTTCTGAAATAAAATGGGTCAGAAAGTGCTTTTTAAACAGTGACCTAAATGCATCAATTCTAAGAAAGCATTTGACTGCAGTCAACCCCTGCGCAACATCTCTTCCTCCTCACGCGGCTCAGGAAATTTGGCATGTCCATAAGGTCCCTCACCAACTCCTACAGATGCACCATTGAAAGCATACTGTCTGGGTGCATAACAGCCTGGTACACAGCTGCTCTGCCCAGGGCCATAAGAAACTACAGAAGGTTGTGTGCACAGTCCAGACCATCACAGAAGCCAACCTTCCATCCATGGACTCCATTTATGTGGCTCACTGCCATGGAAAGGCTGCCAACATAATCAAAGAGCTATCGTGGCCTGGTAATGCTCTCCTACAACCTCTTCTGTCAGGCAGAAGATACAGGAGCTTGAACACACGCACCAGCAGGTTCAGCAACAGCTTCTTCTCATCTGTTATTAGACTGATGAACAGACTCTCTAGCCTCAAATAACACTAATGTTTCTAATGTTGATCTGGCCTTGCGCATACCCTGTGCAATGTAACCTGTATGCCTCTGTCTAAGTCTTTTTTACAACCTTTGATCTGTACATCCTTGCTTACTATGATCTGCCTGTACTGCTCGTAAACAAAGCTTTTCACTGTATTTAGGTACACATGACAATCAATCAACCAATAGATAATGCATGGAATATTTGTATTACTGAGTTTACAACAGATCAGAAAACAATTAGTTTAGTATTAAAATAAAATTGATGGATAAACTCAGCAGGTCTAGCAGCATCTGAAGAGAAAAAGTAGATTTAATGTTCTGAAGATGAGTGACTGGACTGGGATGTTAACTCTGCTTTCTCTCCACAGACACTGCCAGACCTGCCGAGTTTCTCTCGCAATTTGTTTTAATTTAGTATTGGCTTCAGAACAGAAGTTCAAGGTTTCAATTTGGAAACATCAAAGTTCAATTCAGAAGGGAAAACAGTTTCTCCTAGCAGAAGCAATCAAGCTTTTACTTTACAAGAGCTGAAAATGTTTCAGTTGTGGAGCTTCAAGGCCACAAGGGTTTGAGTAAAAATCTTCAAGTTGTTAGAACTGAACATGTACAGGCTGTCAGAATTGTGGAAGGTTCGTGCCAGTGGATTCAGAACGTAGTCACAAAGTTGTCTCTGCAGTCCAGGGAAAAGACACTGGGAGGCGTCTGTTATGTAAAAATGTAAAGAGCTGAAAAGAAAATTCTCTGGAATTGAGTATCTTTAAAGGGATACTGGTGGAAAATAATTTGTAACTTTGTTTTGTTGTTTGTGTTAAATCTTTCCAACTGTCCCATATATGGCTGTGGTTGTTTTCTCTTTTGTGTAATAAACCCAAGCTCAGCTACTAAAGAACATCTGCAGCCTCATGTGAATACATTTATGTGCCTAACTACCACATTAACCAATGCAATAAACTAAAAGGATTTTCGGCCACATTATAGTCTGGCATCTGACTTGTCCAGTATTACCACCTGTTGGGACCATAACAATACATAAATCAAGATGTAAGCAACAGCATTCACTGAAGCACTGAACAAGGATGGGATTATCAGAGTGAGATGAGCTGTAAAGAAATCACCTTTAAAGGAGTAAACAATATGCATCAAGTCTCAGCCAATTCCATGATAATGCCATGACGGGCAACAGAGGTCTTGGCCGAGGGCAGGATAAAAGCTATCTGTTCAGCTACCTAAACAGGGGGCTACATATTACTTGGATAGGTATCACCATATAGTTAACGAGCAGTACTTGGTAGGTAGACCACCACACTGACAGCTGTATTCAGTTACCACCAACTATAATTCTCTATCTGAACCACGCTCTTGTAATTTTCCTCCTGTTATTGAATATATATGATTCACTTGTTTTTATAAATGATATTTAATAAGATATTGCAATGAAGTAGAGGCACCAATTCATGGAAGTTATTTTATATACATAAAAGTGCAATTAGAAGTATCCAGTTCAACCTATTCCATACATTTTGATTTAACATTTTTCAAGTCTTTATCCAGTTTCACTTTAAAGTTTTTGTAGACTCCTTGCTGTTTTTGGATTACAGTTTAAATCAAAATTCTGTCTGTTCTCATGCAAGTGTAAGAGTCTGCAGCCACTACTGGAACAAGAGAAGTTCACCCGAGGAGCCATGACAGTATTTAATACTCAAACATCACAAACACAGATGATCTAGCTGTTTCTGGGCGCTTTGTGTGCAAATCAGCAGCTGTGTTTCTATCGTTATAACAATGCCCACACATTTCAAAAGTATTCAAATTGGCTGTAAAATACTTCACGATGTCCTAATATGGTAGAAGGCGCCATTGAAATGTCAGTCTTTCTTTAAAGGCCCCACTTGTGTAATGTATCCCACATTTGAACACCTTCATGTGGGAATTTTTATTCTAATCATCCATCATTGCTGTGTCCACATTACATGAACTTTATCTAACAAACACCAAACAAAAATTGCTGATTTAATGAAGTATACAATTGCTCAGTCACTTTTATAAAAGGAAGCAAGCTGACGTAGAGCTCCCGAGCTCTCCAGAAGTTAGGAAGAATGATTAATTGCTTCTGAAAACAGTGGTCAATTCTTCAGTTTGCACATCATAATTTCACAGAGGCAATGAAGTTCCAAACTGTTTTCGTTGGCACCTTCAATCAATATGTCTTTGAAATGTCAGTACTTGTGGCTGTCAATACCACTGGAGCCATTTAGCCAAACTCATTTAACTGCTCATTGTTTTCAACACTCTTGTACTTTTCCAGTGTTGACGTCTCTTTGGAAAAGCAGAGTTCTCCAAATCCAAATGTTTCTCAATAGTGAAATGGGTTTTGAGTCTGACAAAGGTGTTGTACAGGGAGCAGACTGATCATGGCCTCAAAAACAGAATTCCATTCCTTGCCCTCTGAAGATATCAATTTATGCTGGGGATTCACTTCCCAGTTTCTGACTGTGCTTCATTGACCACTCAAGCAGGAGTTTCAAGTGTATCACAAGGCTGCTCATCAATGGGAGAGTAATGTCGTTGCTGCGTTGAGCTCAGCTAGCTGTCATAGGGTGTCCACATGCATGTCTTTCCCAAAAGAAGGCACCACACAGATCAAAACCCACTAACAGCAAGCTTCTGTCTTGGTAAACATTTAAGAAAGTGGCACATTCAATTCCTGAACTCAAGTATAATACATATAAATTAAAGATAAACATAAGTTGTGCACACGTGAACATCCCGCATCAGTTTTGCTATTTAGCTTACTGGCACAAAGGAATTGTAATGAGTACTTAAGAATTCAAAAAGGAATGCTGGATTCTGTGATGGTCAGCAGGGCATTGGTGAGACCGCATCTACAACACTGTGTAGATAAAATACTCTTTATTTAAGAAAGGATATCAACACACGAGCAGTTCAGAAAAGTTCACAAGTCATTTCTGCCTTGAGGCAACTTACGACGTCAATTTGGACCCATATCCATTGGAGTTTTGAAGAATGAGCAGCAATCTTGCAAGTAGCAAGGAGTTGGTCATTCAGACTCTCAAGTTTTACTGAAACACACAAGATCTCAAGGGGACTTGACTTGGTGAATGTTGTGAGGAAGTTTCCCCCTTAAAAGAAAGACCAGGGAATGCAGTTTAAAGATTAGAGGTCTCTCATTCAAGTCATGGATCAGGAGAACTCTTTTTCCAATTATGGGTTCATGGAAATCTCTTGCCACAGAGTGGTGGAGGTATAGAGCAATTTAATATTTTAAATAAAATGTGCTGGAAATATCTGGCAACATCTGTGGAAGGGAAAGAGTTCACTTTCAAGCCTGATAGTATTTTATATGCACTTTGGGGGCGGGTGGAAGAGCAGCAAGTGGAACAGATGGGAAAGCTGCCACAAAACAAAGGCAAAGAGAGTGCTAATGGTAGTAGAGAATACATACAGACAAGTACACGTGAGATGGCAGGGGTTAATAGCAGAAGCTGGATTAGCTCTGCTTTTACTGCATTGATGCGGAAATGTACTTGTTCCTGGAGGGTGGATATCTTGTGCACGGACAATTAACAGTTAACCACATCGTGTGGGTCTACAGTCAAGTGTAGGCCAGATGAGGCAAGGACGGCTGACGTTCCTTCCCTAAAGGGCAAGAGTGAATCAGGTGGGGTTTTAAACAATTAACAATGATTGTATGGTTGTTATTAGTCTAGTCTTTTTCTTCCAGAATTTTTAAATTGAATGTAAGTTTGCTTAAGTGGAATTCACTCCCATGTCCCCAGAAAGTCAGGTCTCTGGAATACTACTGCAGACACAATCAAAACATACCAGCATCTCCTCATCTAGGGATTTGTGACAAAAAGAGAAATTTGGCGAATGGCAGTTGAGGCTTTAACCACATCTTTGGGGTTAGGAGCAGATTTGAGGGGTTGAATGGCCTATTGCTCCTCTTGGTGATCATCCTGGAGGAGTTGGGTTATCTCTGAGAGGAGCTGGGAGTATTCCTTCTCAGGTAGTGAGTGTCTGCGGACCATTCCCAGCGCCGCCTCCTCGGTCAGGCTGCTGTACTCCTGCGGGGTTTTGAGGGGCCAGTGGCCAGCTAGTTCGCACAGAGCCACGGTGAAGGCCGTAGGATCCTTGGCCCCGAAACAGCTACGGCGTGGCCAGAGGATGATCCGGGCGCCGTCTCGCTCCAAAGAGGAGGTTTGGCCAGGCGGCGGAGTGCCGAGCGGGCAGCCCCGAGTCAGAAAGAGGTTGTGGGCCAGCGAATGGCGGATGAAGAGGCCAGTCAGGGCGTGGAGAGTGAGGGCAGCCCGGGTCAGGCCTCCATCACCGCAGTCTGTGTAGAGGACCAAGCCGCCGGCCGGGTGCTCGGACAGCAGATGGACAGGGAGAAAACGGGCCGAGGCTGGGGCCCCGGGCTCCAGTAGGGGACGGGTGGTTGCCCACTCTAGCTCCAGGCGCTGGTCCAGGTAGTAACCGTGCAGGTGGAGATGGTTGACAGAGGCCTCGGCGCCCAGGCTGTTGAAGCCGACGCGGAAGCCGGGATCCGAGCTCAGGAAGAGAAGCTCCAGAGCCCTCAGCACGGAGTCCTGGGTGAGGATCTGCGGCAGGCGACGGGCCGGTTCAGGCAGCAGCAGGACGTGACCCCACTCCAACGGACTGACATTGATGACCAACAAGGCCTCGGCCTCATCCCCAGCCTCTCCAAGATCCCGCTTCCGGAGGCGGAACAGCACCTCCCGGGCCGGGATGCGGGTGAAGTTGAACCGCTGCGGATCGAAGGGCTGCCGGAGGCTGAGGATCTCTTGCGGTGGCCGCCGCTCACGGGCCCGCTCGGGGTTGAGCTGCGCTACCAGGCCCCGGCGCCCCGGCAGGACGCGGGTGGGGGGGCCCCGGCGCGGCAGGCGGTAACGGAAGCAGCCGCTGGACAGCCGCTCCTCCCAGGCCGAGAGCAGAGCCGCGTCGAAGCGGGAGCCCGAGCCGCCCCACTGGACTCCATTCCAGATCAGATCCTCCTCCGAGTAAATAAAGACCGGGGCTTGGTCCCAGGGCAGGCCCAGGACTCCGTCCGGCTTCGTGGGCGCTGCCATCTTGCTCTGACGTCACGGGTACCGTCCGTTACCATGGTTTCCGCTGGCTGCACACCGTCAGAAGTTAAAAGGGGAGTCAATCGAAACTAAAACAAACCCTGCAAAATCACAGAGAAACACCTCGTGGATGGAAATCTGAAATAAAATTAGAATTAAAGAAAACAGTCAACGAAGATCATGTCTCGCCCATCGCGGAAGAGCCAATTAGAAATAAAGATTATAGCAGCCAATCGAATCTCGCGATCACCAACCAACCGGTGCGCCGGTGCTCCGCGTCGAACCAATAGGAGGAGGGCTGATAGTTAACAGCCAATAATAGGGAAGCTGGTGTCGCTGGCAACCAATCGGCATTGCGGAGGTCGGGTGGCCAATAACAAGGTGTGTTTCCTGGACCAATCGGAGGTGGCGTCTAGTTGCCAGGGCGACGATGGGGCCAGAGCCGTGTCCGCGGCCTGGACTGGCAGGTGAGCGCCAGGTGAGTGACTGAGAGTGGGAGAGAGGGAGGAAGAAGAGGCCCTTTCAGCTACCAGCCGCTTCCCACTCCCATCACCATACTGCTACCACCGGCCCATTGGGAGGCCCGGGTAAAGGTCCGGGCTTTCAGATCCGGCCATCGCTCTCACTTCCCGCTTCGAACCCATAGCAACGGGGTGGCGGGGGTGGGGCGACTTAGCAACGGTCTGGTCCGGACCTGATCGGGCCTGTCCTGACCTGAGCGGTCCGGTCCACGCATTGAACTGAGTCATCTAGACTTGAAACGTTAGCTTGCTCTCTCTCAATGGATGCTGCCCTGACCCTACTGTGATCTTCAGCATTTTTACGTTTTCAGTCTCATAAACAGCGAGCCGCAGGTTTAGACATGAGGCTCTGGCCAACATCTCTGTCCAGGCTTCCTGCACTGCTCCAGGGAAGCTCAGCACAAGCTGGAAAAACTGAATCTCATTATCCGCTTGGGGACCCTGCAGCTCTCTGGATTCAATATTGAGTTCAATAATTTTAGATCCTGACCACCTCCTCCGCATCCAGCATATCACTCTCCGCCACCTACAATCTCACCCCACAACCAAAGAGATATTTCCCTCCCCACCCCTATCTGCCTTTCTTAGGGACCGCTCTCTCCGCAACTCCCTCATCCGCTCCACATCCCCCACTAACCCTACCACCCCCGGTACCTTTCCCTGCAACCGCAGGAAGTGCTACACCTCCCCCCTCACCCCCATCCCAGGCCCCAAGAAGACTTTCCACATCAAGCAGATGTTCACCTGCACATCTGCTAATGTGGTATACTGTAGCCGCTGTTCCCGTTGTGGCCTCCTCTAAATCGGGGAAACCAAGCGGAGGCTTGGCGACCGCTTTGCGGAACACCTACGCTCAGTTCACACTAAACAACTGCACCTCCCAGTCGCGAACCATTTCAACTCCCCCTCCCATTCCTCAGACGACATGTCCATCCTGGGCCTCCTGCAGTGCCACAACGATGCCACCCGAAGGTTGCAGGAACAGCACCTCATATTTCGCTTGGGAACCCTGCAGCCCAATGGTATCAATGTGGACTTCACAAGCTTCAAAATCTCCCCTCCTCCTACCACATCCCAAAACCAGCCCAGCTGGTCCCTGCCTCCCTAACTTGTCCTTCCTCCCACCTATCCCCTCCTCCCACCTCAAACCCCACCCCCATCTCCTACCTACTAGCCTCATCCCACCCCCTTGACCTGTCCATCCTCCCTGGACTGACCTATCTCCTCCCTAACTCCCCACCTACACTCACCTTTACTGGCTCCATCCCCGCCTCTTTGACCTGTCTGTCTCCTCTCCACCTATCTTCTCTATCCATCTTCTATGCGCCTCCCCCTCTCTTGCTATTTATTTCAGAACCCACTTCCCCTCCCCCATTTCTGAAGAAGGGTTTAGGCCCGCTTTCCTGCTCCTCTGATGCTGCTTGGCCTGCTGTGTTCATCCAGCTCTACACCTTGTTATCTCAGATTCTCCAGCATTTGCAGTTCCTACTATTTCTTCCATATTGAGCATGGGTTCATCTGCACATCTGTCAAATTGTTCAACTGTATCAGCTGCTCCCAATATATCGGTGAGACCAAGTGTGGACTGAGAGACCGTTTTGTAGAGCACCTGTGCTCAGTACGTGACAAACGACAACACCTTCTGGTCGCCAATCCCTTTAACTCCCTGGGTGACATTTCCATCCTGGGCCTCCTCCAGTGTCACAATGATGCCACCCGCAAACTGGAGGAGCAGCACCTCATATTCCACCTCGGGAGCATACAGCTCAATGGCCTAAACATGGAATTCACCAGTTTTAAAATCTCCCCACCCCTGGCCTCACCCATGTCCAACCCTCCCTCTCATCCCCGCCTCCTTGACCTGACACAAACTGTCCATCTTCTCTCCCATCTATCTGTCCCTCCCACCCCACTGACCAATCCCCACTACTCCCTACCTGCACTCACCTATCACTATCCCACCTACCTTCCCCAGCCCTACCCCTCCTCTATTTATTTCTGAGCTCCCTTCCCCCTCCCCATTTCTGAAGAAGAGTCCCGATCCGAAACGTCAACTTTCCTGCTCCTCTGCTGCTGCCTGGGCTGCTGTACTCTTCCAGCTCCATACTGTGTTATCACCTCCTCCCATGTCCTTTACTCACTCCCGCACCCTTGGCCATGTCATCACATGGGTTGTTTTCATCACAGCTAACCCATTTTCACCCACTAATGGTCCATTAGCAGCTTTTCTACCTGAGGAAGGGTCACTTGACCCAAAACGTTAACTCTGATTTCTCTCCATAGATGCTGAGCTTTTGCAGCAATTTGTATTTTTGTCACAGCTTTTCTATGTCTGTGCTCATCATTTGTAAGAATCATACAATCCCTACAGTGCAGATGGAGGCTATTCAGTCCATCGTGTTTCTGAAGGGCATCCATCCCATACACAGCCACTGTGCTGCCAGTCTGTCCAACTGCTGTTTTCTCTCTGTGGGCTCCAACTCCACCTATCACTTACTTCTTTCTCTCTTCACTCCACAATCATCTTCAGCAAATATACACCTTTTTCTAGTTATTGTCAATATGGAAGAAGGATCACTGGACTCAAAACTGTAACTCTGCTTTCTGTCTGCAGATGGTGCCAAACCAGCTGAGTTGCTCCAGCAATTTCTATTTTTGTGTTAGAGAGGAGTTCATTTGACCCAAACTTTCGTACTTCGCCTTGCATTGTCTCACTGGCTTCGAATCTCCTTGGAAGGTGTTTCCATTGTACATATGCAAGTTCTCATGTTCTAGGTCTTGACAATTCAGGGAGCACTTGTGTGAGGCCACACTGCCGTTCACGTCCTCACCTATCTTTAGTCTATTTGACCGAGCTTCTCTTGCTGGCTTCTCACTATGTCTGTTCCTTCTGAATTGGGGCCAAATTACTGTATGTTAGCCCCTATCCCCACTGCTCAATTCCGATGAAGTGCTTAGTGTTTCACTGTATTTAAATATTTAAATATCAGTGCATTCAATTGAATGGTTATCCTATGGTATGATTTTACTGAGGTTTGTGAGCTTGCATAACTTCCTTGCTCTACAGCTATTCCCTCATCAGAAAGGTAGGTTATAGAATAATTTGTTTTGCTCTCAAATGTTTATGGAAGGAGCCCCAGAACAGTAAAGTCACACTTGATTATCCCTTCTTCGTCTATCTTCTTTATCTTTGATGGTTGTCATTACCTAATTGGAATTCCTCTATCCGGGGAGACCCATCAGGGAGATCACTGATGCATCATGTCAGCAGAACCTCCTGCTGAGATCAGAATAACAATCGAGCTGTTTAACTGCAGCCATTGCAATCTGAATGTTGATTGCACTTGGGTGAGGTAGGTGGTGTCACAGTGATAGTGTTACTGGACAAGTAATCCCCAAGTTTTAAACTAATGAGCCAGAGTCGTGGGTTCTAATTCCTCCAGGGCGGCTGGGAGAATTTAAATAATCAATCTGGAATTGAAAGCTAGTCTCAGTAATAGTGACCATGATATTACTAAATTGTTGTAAAAACTGTCCTGATACACCAATGAAATCTGCTGTCCGTACCTCAACTGGCCTACAGGTGACTCTAGATTCACACCAGTATGGTTGACTTCACTCAGATTTTGATAAATAAATGCTGGCTTTGCCAGTGATGCTCACACCCTAAGAAAAATAAAAATAAGTTGGTATTTGAAAGACTCAACATTCTGCCAGTGATTAACAGGATGAATTTCTTCAGCCAGAAGGTAGTTTATCTGTGGAACTCATGGCTGCAGAAGGCTGTGGAGGCTATGTCATTGAGTTTATTTAAGACAGAGGAAGATAGGTTTTTGATCAGTAAGGTAATAAGGTGATAAAAGATTACAGGGAGAAGGCAGGAGAACGGGGTTAAGAAACATATCAGTTGTGATCAAATGGTGGAACAGACTCAATGGGCTGAGTGGCCTAAGTCTACTCCTATGGCCTATTCCTATGGTCTTAGGATAGCTGCTGATGGGCTGTTTCCTCCTGGCTTGGATCATAATTCTCATAATGGTCAGCCATTTAGGTCTGAGATCAGGAGAAGTTTCTTCAGTCTGAGAACTGAGAGTCTTTGGAATTCTCTACCAAATAGAACTGTGGATTTTCAGTCGTTGAATAGTCATAGTCATAATATTTGAAGATTTGGAGGGATAGGTGTTTCCGCACCAATTAGGCAATTGAGTGGTATAGGTATAGTGTGGGAATTAGGAGTTGAGGTGGAAGGGTGTACTGCGATATTACTGAATGGTGAAGAAGGCCTAGAGACTACATTTGAGAGGGCCTATTCCTACTTCTGCTTTTGATGTTGTATAACGTGAAATTGCTTTCTTTTTATTTGTTCATGGGATGTGGGCATCATTGGCTTGGCAGTGTTTATTGCCCATTGCTAAGTAACCTGAGATGGTTAAGAGTCAACCACATTGTTGTGGATCTGGAGTCACAGAGAGGCCAGACCAGGTAAGGATGGCAGATTTCCTCC